TTGGCTGTAAAAGTATGAAAATTATTATGAGAATGATTTAAATACCAATTAAACAGAGAAGTAAACAAAACCAATTTTATATTAAAACTACTATTAAAATTTGTATTTTGGCAATACACAGAGAATTGTTAAACGGATAAAATCATATTAAAAGCTAAAAATTGCATCTAAAAAATGTTTTTGTTTTTTTTTTTTAAATACCACATAAGTTATTTTAAAATAATATATTTTTGAATTTCCTAAAGTTTGAGAGCACTAGGATAAACAACAGATTTATGGCAATTTATGATAAATAGCATTTAAAACAAACCACAGTATCAGCTGTCTGGTACTTCACCAAGTCCTGGAGTAACTTGCATTTCAACTGATATAAGGAGATGTTTGGAGCCTAAACACACAAACCAAACAGCCTCCTTGAATGAAGAATAGGGAGGGAGCACTAATGGCTGAAACCATGCTGTCGCACTGAGGGTACAGGAATAGCATGCAGCAAGCCCATTAATCTGTGAATCTGTCTTTCATGTAACTAATGAAGCACCGAAATCAGCAATCCCCAAAGCCAAGATGATTACATCATCGAGCACAGTAGCCACTCTGTAATTATGGTATCAAAATATTATTTCTGTACCAGGCTCACTGATATTACAGTATTCGCAAAAACACAGAGGGAAAAGCAGAAATAATCTACACCGATAAAACTTATCGCGATTTTTAACTGTAAACAGTTAATCTCCAAAACAGAGTGGCCAAACTTAGGGCAGCATTAAGAATGCCTGGAGGTACGCGTGAGGCTGAAAAACTGGTTTCACTTGTCCATATACAAAGCATACTCCCAGTAATTAACAACATCAACAACAACATCAATAATAGTAATAAGCAAAAAAAAAAAAAAAAAAACCTGGAAAGATACCAGGCAAACTTCATTAGCAGAAGTTCCACCCACTTCAAAAAGGGAAAAAAATCTTCCCTCCCAGGAGGCTGATGGCTGCGATGCCAGTGGCATGTTTCCCAGAATGGGCCACACTTGGTTATTCCATCTTTGGAAATGTCTGCTTAGTCACTCAGGCCCAGGAAGTACCAGATGCAAACAGCTTGTACTGAATAGTCATACTTACGTATAAATATAGAGATTAATAATTGTTATTAAAAGTAAGTGAAACTGTAACAGTAAATTTTGAAGTTTATTGTTTATAGAATGGTTTGAATATAATACGTTTTCCATAAGATAGCAATAGCAACCCAGTGAATGCCTATTTAGGTAGAAAACATTGATCCATCATTATTTGTGATTTAAAAACATTTTATTGCAATTAATTTTTATCATGAGTTTTAAATTACAGCTGGAGATGAAGACAATCATGAGCATTTTCATAACTAACTGCTCTCTACATCTGTGTTTTTACCTTTTCCCAGCCTGAAACTAGGAGTTTACTGGCTTCCAAAACGTAAAAATGAACTACAGCTGTCAAAGGAAACAACAACAGGTAACAAAATACTTTCAACATGCTTTGAAAATTAACCTTGCAGTATTAATAACAAACACATTACAGTCACTCTCAGGTATAGTCATAACTAATAAATCCATGCACATTTCATCATTTCAAAAAGTGTTCCGGGACATCAGGTTTCGATTCTGGCACTAAAATCCATATACTGTACGTGTAGTAAGTTCACATGCCATGTCCTGTTCAGAATATTACCTAATCAGGTGTATGTAACAAAATGATTAAAGTATCCAAAAATCTAGTTTAACCCTGCAGTAGCCAAGCAACTAACAAAAATGGCAGAATACAACTATTAACTGTGGATTCATATAGCCTAAGGTCAAATTAAGGTAGCTTTTAAAATGAGCTACAGCACATTGTATTCTTAGCTGATAAAAGATAAAGAGCATTCTGTTATGTAGCGTTAAGTGATTTTAAATGTAAAACTAAGTCAGCAATACATACATAGCTTTAAACATTGGCTTGAAGACTCTGCTATGAGCCTACAGTTTTCACACAGAAAGATTCGACCACTTCTACACTTTATGGCCAATGGAGACTGCCACAGTAGAAACATCAACTTCCACTTAACAAGATGTGCTTTGTTTACTGCTAAACTAACAAGGGGAAATTAAGACTGCAGACCCAATGGAATATGTGATTCTATTGGTTCCATTATCTGTTTAGACTGACTCTGTGCTTGAATTCCCCTTGGATTTTGTGTCGTACAAAATGTGTCTCTCTGGAGGACCCTTAATGAGCATTCAGTTACTGTGAGCAGTGACAAATTTTGAAAGAAGCATGGCATGTAGACCTACTACTGACATGTAGGTAAGGGCTTCAGCCTCGTCTGGATGTTTTCAAATTTTTCTTAAGTGTGACAGAAAGTGGGTATATTGCTACTGTTCCACAGATAGCATGAAGCATGGATTGCACATCCAGGCTCTAATCAGACAGTGTCCAAATTAATTTCACAAGTCCTAAAAGCCATAAACGGATTCCATTGGTTATATGATGTTATCTGCTTAATCTAGTATTGTTCAATCTATCCTGATATGTAGATTCAGTCTAGCGATTATTTTACATGACAAGATTCATTAGGTTTACTAATGCGCGTCTTTTCTTTTGTGTTTGTGTAAACCCGCGTCACTGGCACTGAGGATGAATCTCTAAGAGCTGGCTCTGTTTACTTTGCTCTGCCACAGATCGATAATGCAGAGAAGAGTGTCCCTTAATGGGTAGCGAGGCAGGCAAAGCTTTGGCGACCCAGAGCGTGTACGTCACCGCCTTCCCAAAACTATGGCACACAATTCATGACATTTTGGTGTCCAATAGAAACCAGCACAGCAGGGAAGCAGAGCCCAACTGCTTGTCAATAGCTGCCTCTGAATTTAAGGACAAATTTTATTCCTCAATAATTAAAGGTAAATCTATAACAATATCATATCTTCTTAAATCTTTTAGAAATGTTGTCAGACGATACTGGACTGAGTGGGTTTGATGTATTGCTGCTGTAACTACACTATGCTCATATGTAGTTTATTAAGGTTTCAGGTCTAGTTTACTATAGATTAATCTTTCCGAAATGTAAATGTTCATAAGTGTAACTGAAATGTATGCTTCTAATGACCTGTTTATTAGTGTGGGTTGTCAGTTCTTTGATAAGCAAACTAAAAACTGTTACTTATTGTATATAGAGCTTAGCTGGTAGTATCTGTACCCAGAACAGCTCATCTGAGATCATGCAGAACCAAGAGAATCTGTGGAACAGGATGAAGATACCCACTCAAATGGTTGTTATAACCAGAAACTGGTAATACTGTGAACAATATAGGACAACCCATTTACTGACAAGGGTGTGAGGAAAAGCTATACAGATACAGCAGGGGTAACTGGGCAGCATGTATTTCACTTTTTTAAAACGTATGCTTTATGTGGAGTGCGAGGCAAAATGGACTGCCTCCATTGAATCTTAGTGTACAGGGAAAGCACTTTGCCATGAAACAAGGAACTCCCCCGGCATAAATTTGAGCAAGGCTCTTTCAGCACTCCATCAGTTACCAAAAGCTGCAATGTTGGCATAAAAATAAATTAATGCACAACTGGCTCTCAGTTCTGTGCTCAGAAGTCACCGCCAGGCAGAATGACAAGGCTTTCGCCACTCAAACAAAACCACCCCACCTGCTTCCTTTAGCATGAGAGGAAAAAAACAAGGACCTTGTTTCACTGCCCATTCTGCCTTGTAATAGGACTTTTATCACATAAAATGAAAAAAATACTACAGCAGAAAATACATTGGAGGTTGTTCCTTTCCCTCATGTCCCCCTGCACTACTGGAAGCTAGTGTTGCAAATCTGGGCCAGCAGGACCTTCAAGCCATTAATCTGTCAGGTCCTGAACTGCTGCAGATACTAACTGCCCCTCCCTGCACTCAAAGGGCAGAAGAGGTCGGCAAATGGACAGTAATTAAAGGTACAGTGCCCACAGAAAGAGTGACTGTTCTTCTGGAGGATGCACTACACTGAGAGAATATCAGAAATCGGATCAGTGTGCTGTTGTTCTGAGCAAAGGACTGGGGGAAAGGCTACCAGCAGAGCACCACAGCCTCAAGTCAGTAAACAGAATTTAGACTTTCCAATCAAAATTTTCCAATGGGCATTTTGGAATTTGTCCTCAAAAAATGCACAGATAAAGCCTAAAATCTTTCAAACAATGAAGAAATGTGCATTTGCCTTCAAAGCAGCTATCAAGGTATACTGAGGCTAAAATGAAAACACTTAAACTTTACTGGTTAATGCAAGATGCATTCACTAAAATACTCTGCAATTACATTAGCAAAATATAATACATACAATCAAAAGTGTAATTCTGTAAGGCAGCGTTATTTTGACTGTAAGATCTAAGGATCAAAAAGGAACTCCACCAAATGCTACCATATGATATGGTTTCGTGTATAAAATGAATCTTAAGCTGTTTAATGACCTCAGATCTGAGGCATGGCAGTAAGGCATGGAGTGACCAGACAGAAACAGTCGAATGGGAGAGAGAGAAAAAAATCCCATCAGAATTCACCAGATTTTTTCCCCCACAAATTTACTTCTTTCATTTAACTGCAGGCAATACCTACATTCAAAAACTGAATATTTATTATACCTTTCAGACCACATAAAGTGCATTAAATGCCTGCTGCACATCTGTTGTCCTCTCATGCACAACTGCTTTACAGCCTGTCTGGTCAGTTAAGGAGTTAGCACTGCCAAAAAAGACTCAAATCTTACACTTGGAGCTAAGCCCTTTTGGATGAGTCCTCTCCTCAAGAAGTTTCTCCCCAACTTTCTCACAGTTAAATTAGTTTGGAGAACTGTTACCAAGGGTATTGGAACATGCACAGGTAAACGAAACCACATCTGGAGCACTGGATGGCATTCCCTCATAAAGTCACTTCCTGTTTAATCATTACTTTGTGCTGCACAGTACAGTCGAGTGTGAGCACGCTCGGTGTGGCGCAAGACTTACTCGGCTCTGGCTCCTTGCATCAAAAGAGTCTTTATGCACTCCATGCTGCCAGCCCGGGCTGCCTTGTGGATCGGGGTCTCACCCACATAGTCCTGCAGCAAGGGGGGGGGGGGGGGGATAAAGAAGACTGGACCATGAAGGCAACAAACAGGGTAGTGGCCAAATCCAAGATGTTTGCAGAGCACCGTGCCTTCTGTACATGGCTGCTTGTGACTTTTATCATGATTTTAAATCCATGGAATTTGTAGAAACCCAAAAGGTAATGTAATAATGGCACACAGGGTTAAGGAGACAAGTTATTCAAGTGATCTGTAATAGGTATATTCAGTCCATTGTGAACAGGAATCCACAAGCCTCTAAGGGGACCACAGAGCGAGAACAACGTTCACTGCACAACCTAAAGCGGATCTGCTTGCTAGCTGAACTGTCCATCAGCACCTGGCCCTAGAACAATTCAGAAATGCACAGGCTGGGATCTGTGCAGGGCTGTGGAGTCGGTAGATAAATGCTCCGACTCCAACTCCGACTCCTCAGTTTCTAAATCTTCCAACTCCGACTCCTCTGTATGTATATACTATGCTAATGTATTTTCTACATCCATTGAAGGAAAGGAAGGCAACATACATGTCATTTCACCACAGAACTACTGGCTAGGAAGCAAACACTCTACTATAATGCCAGATTAAAGACAAACACAATGAAAACAAGGTTTCAAGGGTAGCGCATAGCGAAGGGGAGCCGACGGAGCTGAGAACACACCAGATGATTTTTCAGGCGTTTGATGCGTGATGACTCGTTGAACGGCCGAAAAATCGGCAGTGCATCTGTAAATGTATGGGGGGCTTTAGGCTAGGTTCACAGTTCCCTGTAACAGTGGAACACGACACAATGGAAAGCGGTGCCGCACCTTACCTGTGCATTACATCCCATATAGTGACGCATACAGTCAATGAAAAGCATGCTTCATGGTTACTTGACATGTTCGTTTTGTGGTAACATTATGCACTGCATGCATTGGGCTTTATTCTTACAGCAGAGAAGTAGTTCATTATGACTGTTTGTGAATTGGGACATTTCAACTTACTTTTTTAATTCCCATTTAAATTTAGTAGGAGTCGGAGTCGGTTAACTTTTTGCCGACTCCGACTCCAGGTACCCAAAATTGTCTCCGACTCCGACTCCACAGCCCTGGATCTGTGAACCTTGTGTCTAGGCTGAGCCCAGTTATTCACCAGGGAGATCCACAGAAGTGGAGAATTTGTATTAAGCTTGCTGTGGAGAGGAGGGGTTGTTCATCTCTGCTCTGACACTAAAATAAGTTCCCCATGATCAACCAGACCACCTTTACCGAGAGCTACATAGCTCAAGTTAGCATTAGCTTCCCTGTCTGAAGCTGGGATTCCCCAGGAATACTCGCTAGCCCCCAGCAGGCAGGACCAAGGGTAAGAAGGGTATTACTCCATTACTCCGACATTTGTAAGGCTTTTCAGACATTCTTTAAAGGCTAAATATTAAGCCTAAACGCATTCCCTTCACTGTTACCATCCACGATCCTACCAAAACAGATGTTTCTAATAATCCACTTGCTAAGTCTGACATAATGCATGACGTAAAACTGTTTCTGGTTACATTATTCACCATGACTTCATTCTTAAGCAAGGCATCATTGAGGGTGAAAAAGGGGCTAACGTCCTTGAATTCAAGTTAACAAAAAAGGGGGGAGAGGGTAATAAAAAGTAGGCGAGATTGAGTGTAACTGTCCTGCCAGGAGGAATTTTCAGTACTTCATTTTCAATTCGGCAAACAAGATAAAATTAACAAACACACTTCTTGGCAGGGGCAGAACCTAAATTAACTGGTTGTGGGTTTGTTACAGCTAATCCTGGTTGCAGTCCGTCACAAAATGAACGGTTTGATAATATTTTGGTTTTCTAGTAAATTACTCCAACATTGGACAGAGAGTAGTTGATAAAAAAAAAACAAGGTTGTCCAGCTGTTACATTAAATTTGGATATGCTGCTAAAAAAACAGGAGACACCACCATCCATGTGTGTGCGACCAGAGCAAGGCAGGAACAGCCTCTAAGTTGGTCTCTCTGTGGCATTTAAGCAAGTTCAGCTGCAGATAGGCAACCATACTCAGTAAGAAAACGCAGGATTTGGTTCATTATGATTTTTATGATTTTTTCGATTTTTAAATTTGATATATTTTTTACAATGTACAAACAAGCCCATCTTGTTACTACGATACATTAATGGACACATTGTGTTTGCGGTTTTAATAATAAAGAATCTCAAAACAAATTCCATTTTCCCTGCTGTTCCAAAATTGCACCGAACCATTAACCCAAACCACGGTTTGTACTGGACCATGAATTTTGTGTACCATTACATCCCAACACCAAATATGAAAAGATTGTGAGGATGGCTCTTTAGTTTACATAGCCACTTCCTCTTCACTGGCATGGAAAGTGGCAGAAGGAGAGTTATTTAATATTTTTTTTGTTTCAGATCAATTGAAACACTGGCATGTTGGCCTGTACTTGGCTTGGCCCTACATCATGACTTAACAAGCGGACAGTAATATTCCCATGCTCAATGGAAGGTAACTGGAGCTAAACAGAAAGGCATTCTCAAAATCTGATACACCTGTTACATCAAGAATTATCCATGTTTTTTAATTACTCATTTTATTTTATTATAGCAGTATATAAAGTGGTGAGTACCTTTTGTCTTACAAAAATGGACACAAATGTTACATATACCTGAGGTTCTATCATTGCTGTTATAGAAAATTAAATCAGTGAAACTGAGCTGCAGTCATTATCTGATTCCCTAATCCTTACATTTTAAGTTCTGCAGAAAAGGGTCTAAGTGAACAACCTAAGAAATTTGTAGGGGGTGTTTCTGGGAGTAGTATGGTGTGATTCTGCCTGGTTAAGTGTTTCAGAATTAGGGTTTATTCGCCAAGCATAAACATGCACAAGGACTTTTCTTGGTACAGAAGGAGGAGACAAAAGGACAGAGACATGTATTTACTGAATTTTTGTCTGTATAGCCAATAAATACACAGATAAACAGAAGTTTAAAAATTATATATATAGAACAATGTAATGTTAAGCTGCCAATGAGCAAAAGTGATATATAAAAGGAGCAAAAAGTGCAGTTTGAACACGATCCACTCATGAGGTTTGGTTGTAGGGGGGCAGACCTGTCTGTTGATGTCAGCTCCAGCTTGCAGCAACCACAGCACACAATCCGGATGACCTCCGAAGGCAGCGATGTGGGTGGGTGTCTGGGCAAACCTTGTGGTCACCGAATTCACACCACTGCCCACTTGCACCAGACGTATCACACACTCCAGCTTTTGAAAGGTGAGGGATAAGAAAGAAGGCAAGATTACCACATATCTCAGCAAGTGCTACACATCCAGGGAACACTGTAGGATCACAGAAATGGCCCAAGTTCCAATGGTTAATTATTCTGGGGCCTGTATCACACAGCAGAATTACTTGTTTAGCTGGATAATTTGATTTATTTTAAGATTTTGACTTTAGTCTGGCTTAAACATAAGTGAACGAAGATAAAGTCCATTTAAACTGGGGTAACCGACAAGCTTTCCAGCTCAGTAAGAAAGCCAGCTCTGTGATATAGGCCACTGGACGTAACGTCACATAAATGAACCAACAGAGAAAAATATATTGGGCTTTAAAAAAATGCAATGAAACAGTATATCAAACTTTGAAACCTTCCCTTTAGGTCTCCCTGTAACAATAACACACTCTAAGTACAAAAACAGTTTCTAAAGAAATCACCCAACACCTCCAGGAAGAGGCCCATTGCATGTAAATTATGTCAGACTGCAGAGTCCTCTGGCAGGACAGGCTCTAACAAACCACAGGAGCAAGACCGTGTTGCTATTCAGCACTGTCTTCCTGTCAGATATGCAAACTACAGTACTTAGGGGTAAGTACAACATATTTTCTAAGGAAGTTGTTTAACAAATAATGATTTGCTATAAGTTCTATCTACGCCCTCAGAATAATATATTTGCTAACTACTCCTGCTTATTCCACTGTTTCAGTGCATCGAAAAAAATAATCAAATGTGGCCTGTCATGGGAAAAAGACATAAGATTTCACTGTTACTTCATTACTATTAGTTGTCTAGCCTAACAATTAACTAACATGTTCATCACAGGCATTTGAGATTTTGATGGCCTTGTTACAAGACCCAAACAACAAAAAATACAGATACAAAGCTTTTGGAAATACATTACACAGGAACATAAGCCAACATAGTCAACAATTCTGTAAAAATTGAGAAAGCACCAGAATTAGGTTGTTTCATTTCTGGTGGATGAGATTAAATCATCGAAGGTCATGGATATATAAATCCAAAGTAATGTGCCACTTCTCAGTTTCTGATATTTTATTTCACAGAATAATACATAATAATTATTTATATGCCAGTTATAAAATGTGGCTACTCTCAGTCTTGATTAGCAGAATTTTGTTGAAAAAGGATGACACCTCCCTTCTCATAGCTTATAAAGCACTTAAGTACCCCTTTCTCTCACTCTCAAAAAAAATCACCTAAAGCTAAATAGTTTTATAATACCTTTATACTGACAGAAACATTATGCATATACAGAATATATAAAAACACGGTATATTTATTTTAATTTTATTGTTCAGCGATTTGTGACGCCTGTCTGTAAAAATCGATTAAATAAAGTTCACTTATATACAGTAGCGACTGGGTAAAATCGATTATAAAAAAAGGACATATCATTTGGATAATTCTGTAAAGCTGGGACATGTAAAGCAATTGAACAGCCTTGCACGAGTCGTATAAACCTTACTCTTCTCAATGGTAACAATGTCTTCGAAGGGGATACAAATAACTTTAAAAGCTACACCCCTGAAAGTTCGTCAGGGTAGTGAAATGAGCTTAGGTGATGCCTTCTCGGCACTCTTCGCTGGGCAGATTAGCGCCTTCCTGGTTACAGCGGCCGCGCTTCGTTGTTTTTTCCTACCCCAAAACCGCGGCTTTGGCGCGTATCATACTATTGGTCTGAGCTTGACCAATCACTGCACAGCCCCACCTACGCCGGGCTACCTCATTAGCTTAATTGCCATCTCGCCAGCGACTCTTTCCTCCTGGGGCTAAATGGTTCCCGGTTGTCATACTCGCTTCTCTAGATGGCCAATCCAACCCCATGTACCGCGAAGCAAGTCTCCATTCTCGGTTACCGCACATGTAAAAGATAGGTTAATTCAGGACGTAGCGAAGCCACCTACAATGACAGGCAGCGAGCCATTTTAGGGCAGCTGGACAAAAGTATTCATCGCACAGTTCCAAAAGCCACGAATGCTTTCCCTTTATTATATACCCAGACTTAATATTGTTAATTCACCGCTAACTGGTTACTACGAGACATTTAATTGGTAGGCTTGGGTTGAGCTCAGACCCAAAGATTGCAACTGGCTTGCTAAACAGTAGCGTATTATGCTGCGGATGAGGGAGCCACGTTTTATTTCGACAAAGTTGTAGCGTAACAAGCGGCATATCATTCATTTTCAATCCTTTTAATGAAGTTCAAGCAAATCAATTACATCCAAGAAAATAACTTTTGCTCAAACGAATATTGATATATTTGATCTGCCGGCTAGCCGGGGCGCAATTTTACTCATCGCATCACATTTTCTTACTATCGTTATACCCAAAAAGACGTCAGAGAACCACGGCCGTTAGTTCGCCGGATACCTTTCCGAAATGAGCCGCCCAGTGAATGGGTGTCCAGCCATAAAAAGAGTCTTCCGCGATGAGATCCGCCTGGTTTGCGGTGCACTGAAGCAGCGAACACAGGGCGCCGACATCCCCGTCTCTGCACGCCCGGTGGAGAGGAAAGTGGGCATTCAGCACCTCCTCACTCGAAAATCCAGACTCCACGTTTATAGACATTGTTGTACCACTTTCCCAAATATGCCTCCTTTTCTAATGAAATAACGATTATATCGGGGGGGGAAGAAAAAAAAATGCAATTCCTTCCCCTTTTCTGGAAGGCACAACAATGCCCCGGCCGAGATGCACGCCCCACGGACAACAAACAAAACGGCAGCGCACAATGAGCCGAAGCGAAACGCGCAGCCCCGCTCTCTCAAAGCGAAAGTCAGACAGGCCGCCTGCAAAATCCGGACCGGAGCACGACCTCAATCCATCAGGCAAAACGGCTCGGGAATAGGCATGCGCGTATGTCTGCTCCAGTACGATGTGACGAAAAAACCGACTATAACCAAAAAAATATGTACGCTACATGTTATACATTTTAAGGTATATATAACATTCATTTAAATGCTTTTGGTGTTCGTTACTCATCTAAACATGCATTGATTCATGTTTCATGCCTGTGTTAGTTCTAGAAATACTACTTTGATATTTCAGGTTTTATATGAAATATTTGAATTATGAATGAATCACGATTATGGGGTAACCTGATTTTTATGTACTGCTGAAAATAGGTAGCAGTCTAGCACACAGTACCGTCTTTCATCAGAATCATGTGTCGAACTGCTTCATAATAAAAGTCTGGTAGAACCCCTTTGCTGTGCTATATTTATATCTCAACAATTTAGCTCGGGGCACCCTATTGCAAACGTCCAGTGGCAGTGGGTCTCAGCAGTTCCTAAAGAGCGTAAGGATAGGCTTAGCTGCAGCACGCAATAGCGGTTTTTAAGACAAAATAAATGTCACCGAACCAGTATTGTCATTTATTAGTCTGAAATCATGTTACATCTAACTCGTTCAAAAAAGTAACATCAAGACATGTTTCTCAGATATTTTCACTAAATTATATTGTTTAATGTAATTAATAATACAGACTCATTTAACGGTTTGTCTTTGCATCTACTATTATTGGAATCTTTATCACGTATCTACGATTCCTTTACTTGAAACGGTAGTATGCATTTGGTATCCGTTGTAGACATCGTTTAAGACTCCATATTGTAGGCCCTTGAAAAAGCAAACTGACAAGATGTTCGCACTTTATCCAAGCCAAATAAACATGCTCTGTGGAAATACTGCTCAGAAGTGACACCATCTGGGCAAAGAGGAAAAGAAATTTCCAGAACTTTCAGTTGTCGTTTTTTTTATTTTTTTTACGGCCCAGCCCTCAGCACCAATACGCGGAGCAAATGACATCAGTCTACTTGCCATATTTCCGTGATTGGAACAAACATCCATTACTGAAGAAATAGGATTATGAAACAGTCCCACGCCCAAAGGTCAGCTCTACTTAGTTTTCTGATTTATGAACAACTAATTCTCCACAGAATAACACTCAAAGTCAATCCATCATATAAACTGTTGCTACCATTACCACTGCTGCTCCTGCTATCGCAACCTCATTATTACTGGCAGCGGAAAAATAACGTTCAGAAAACACTACATCGATAATTACTTAATGCAGAATTCCTTCTTTATTTATTGGCCTGTCCCTTAAGTTAAAGTAGATCTGCCTACATTTCATTTCCAGATGCATATATCCTGCTAGTAACTTCTGACAAATTTTACAATCGAAGACACTGTGTCAATTCTAGTAACTCTCTATACCACAGACCTGTCTGATGGAATTTCAGTGTAAATAAGACAAAAAGGGGCAGCAGCCAAAGATTGTAAGAAGGAAATCCACAGTGACAGCGTCTCTTTCTGTTTACATAATTAATGGTGCCTTGGACACAGTTGCTTTGTGTTCCGCCGTTTGCTTCACATTAAACATGCTTCCTTACATGTGTGTATTTACATCTTTCACTTCACTCTGTCTTCCAACTTCAGTATCTTAAAAATGTTTTCAATTAAAAATTAATTATAAATGTTCCAGTTCGGTGGGTTTACATCTTTTCATTTGAAGCAATGTCTGGGCTAATCGTTTCAAGGTATGAGATTACTTTTAAATGTTATGTTTCATTAACATAAGATGTCTGTTTTTATCTTGTTACCAGAAGATTGAACATCATTCTGCTTAAGTTTTTATTTCCACTGACCAATTAAAGGACGTTTCCACACAAAATATTTAGCAATTACTACAATACCATAAAATTTAATCTGCAGTATAAAATTTAAGTGCACCACATCAAAGTGCAAAATATTGCAATAAGGAGAATAATGCTTCTATATAGTATTGCACAGTAGATTTAAGTATGTTATTGCAATTTAATATATTATTGTAAGGCATTTTACAATCCGGCTAAGGAATGTTGAACAAGAACAGTAAACAATTTGATAGCTTACTTAGTCTAAAAATCCATCCATCTTATAATTGCTTATGCTAGTCAGAATCATCGGGCCTAGAACAGTGGTCACCAACCCTGTTCATGAAGATCTACCATCCTGCAGAGATTAGGCAGTGCCCTAATATAACTGATAAGTACTGAAGCCAGCTATGTTGAAACTAATAGTCGGCTCTAATACTGAGATTCTAATGAAGGGCCTGATTATCTGTAGCAGATGTGTTAAATTGGCACTGCACCTAAGCTCTGCTGGGTGGAAGCAAGGTTGGTGACCACTGGCTTTGAACCTATCCCAGGCATCACATGATACATATCTGTTGGCAAGGATACCATTCCATCACAGGGCAAATGCATACATTCATTCACTAAGGCAGGGGTGCCCAACTCCAGTCCTGGAGGACCAGAGCCCAGTGTAGCTTAGTTCTTTCCCTGTTCCACCATAAATGATTCACCTCAAGAGCTGTGTGGTAATTAGCACATGGAGTTGAATCAGGTGTGTTAAATGAGGGGAAACCCAAAAATGTGCAGGGCTCTGGCCCTCCAGGACTGGAGTTGGGCACCCCTGCACTAAGGACAGTTTACATCTACATGTCTTTAGATGGTGGGAGGAAGCACATATCACGTTGTAAGATCATGAAAACACGACATATTTAAATCCACCACCCTTGGAGGTATGAGGCAACAGTGCTATCCAGAGAGCCACCACACCACCTGTGAGCTTTTAAAGTTGGCGTAAATATACCAGTAGTGTTAGCCTAGGCGTACCATTGATACATTGCCCCCACTAGGGGGAGTTCGTATCCCATGTTTCTTTTTCTTCAAAAATAATCGTACCTATATAAACAAAAACACGATTGCAAAATAAGCCATTTCATTAGTTACAATCAAGATAAAAAAAATAACTAATCACACTGCAAATGTAAGTACCAAAATTCATTGCTGTAAAATTCATTTCTTTTTTTGAGGGAATAAATAAATACAATTCTTCATTTTATCATTACATAGGTTTTGTGACCTTAAGAACAAGGGCCACAAATTTTCCACCTCTGGGCAGAAAGGAATGCATCTGCTGGATTCAGATATTGAAGTCAATAATGTTTTAATGAACTGTTGATGTGCAAGACTCAAATGACATTTATATTGTACCAAACTGCAACAATTATAGTTTCTGTAATGGGGTGGGAAGTTGATTGTGCAGCAAGTGTAGAATATCTAGCAAATAAGTTGCATTGTATGGCCAGACTGCAGGAGCTCAGATACTGTATTGCAAAGCACATTGCACTGTTACCTGCATGTTGCCCTGGAATGAGTTCTGTTGAGCACTGATATTTATCAGATCTGTATTGTACAAGCCATAACTATGTATTTGATGGTACATTTTACTACCCAGGAGTGTCATACAGTAGATGGAAGTTGCCCAAAATTAGCTATATATAAACCATATATTGTAGTTGAATCACTATTTGAATCTATTTTAATATGAAATATCTGGAAAAGTACATTTGCAAGAAATATTTTAGATTCCGAAATATTTGCAATTAATATTTAAACATGGCAAACTGTGTCTACAACATTGAATTTTGGTGCTTGGTTTGGTTTTATCTTAGGGTTTTGAGTACAGTATTGTGATGACTCATGTGAGACATTAAAAAACAGTTAAACGAATCACATGACCTATTTTTATTCCTGAAGGCTTGCGACAAAAGCATTCTGCCGGACTGCAGTAATGTGAAGGAGACATGGCTTCCAAGAAAGGGGAGAGGGATGAAAAACCCAGTGTGTGCTACTGACATTGCATTTTGCAGAACAAAAACAAACCATTGTAAAAGAAATTAAGCCTGAGTTCAGAGGTCATAGTACACATATAATAAAATACAAGCTGACTGCACACTCTAACAGATATACAGTTTACTGCTTTGTTGTGCAAGGGACAAAGAAAAAAAACATGTAGAAAATTGTTACATTACATTAGATTGTAAAGGAATTTCAGAGATAATGCAAATATTTTTGTTTACTAAAACATTTAAAACATTCACACATTAGTCAGAAGTAGTCAGTGACTGATTATAGACTAAAAACCATAAATTTGATTTTGGTTAATAAAAAGTATTGAATTAACTTAGATCGGATACGTGTAATTTGTGATACTTCTTAAAAATAACTTCACTTGTTTACTGTTCTACATTTAGTTTGTTTACCTTGTATTATTGTTTAGTCATTCACCTGCATTTCTTGCATGTGAGATTGTTAGTTGTATGTCTACATTTGAATTTTTTTTTTTTGTTTGCTAAAAATTCAATGCAGCAAACATGTACAGTACTGTAATTTAGTATCTCTACAGGAGAGTAAACTCCAGAAAAAAACAGTTTCATAAACCTAACACTAGGTGGCTCAAAAAATAAATCCTCGTGTGTGCCAGGGCAGGGCAAGCATGGAGCATTTTCTCAGAAGCAACTGGCTAAAAGGCAGTGTACACCCAGTGTAGGACACACCCATACACTTTAAGAACAATTCAAAGTAACCAAACCCTTTCATTGTCTTTGAACCATGGGAGGAAACCTACATAAGCACATGGTGAACTTACCCACAAAACTCTGAGCCTAGCCCTTGAATCACCACGCCCCCATTCTTTTTTTTTCTTCATCAGATGGGCTGCCCTGTTTCCCCAACATTATTAAAACATTAACTAAGCTGTAATCTGTGTTACATGATTTGATACCAGTGACTAGTGACCTTAGTTCAGCACTCAGAACTGCATTGGTTATTAATACTGTACAACTCCAGATTGTACTCGATTGACTTAACGCTGCCTGAAACAGTATAGACTCACAATAGACATTCCATCCCCCCACAATTTCACCTTAATGATAAATAGGTGTCTTGACAGTTGTTGTCAATAAAGCCACAGTATTTCTGCTCTGAATATGACTCCACTTTTTTGATGCATCTG